TGAATTCAACCAGCAGCTGTCTAGTAAGGGCCCAAAATCCTGACACGAAGAAATTCTAATTCTAGGACCTCCTGGTCAGAGGCACTGCAGGCAGTTACAACTGACCCTCAGCCACCTTCAAGAGTGAGATTTTGTTGGAAATATACGTTTGGGGATAAACCAGTCCAAATTACAGAGAAAGTGCTTTTCCTTTTTCAAAGCATCTGTCTATAAACAACACAAGTGCTTAAACCAAATAGGATTCTCTACAAAATGTACATTGATTGACTGAATAGCTGTCCTGCACACTTGAATTCGATCTTTTAATTTTTTGAGAGTACTTCATATGAAATTCTTAGAACATTTTTGAAATTATGTCAGAAAGTGTTCCAATTTTTCTTTCATAAAAATGTATCATTGCAATACTACAGGATTGATTATAACATTCTTTACTCAATGAAATACATTCTTCCAAATGAAATATTTAAATTAGACTATGCACATTATTTAGAAAATGTAAATGTCACATAATTTTCGCAAATCTTCAACAAAATCAAATTCTCTTTGCTTCTATTGCAGAAAAGCTACAAGACATCAGGCCACATTTCAACAACGATATTATCATGACCCAGAAGTTTGAAATTTAGAGAATTCTCACTGTAATATCTTGGTGTACGGAGCATTGCATGAATGATTTCATTCTTGAATCTGTGATCAAGTATTTCTTTCAACAGAATTAATTCCATAAAAATGTTTCTATTGTGTTCCAGTTTTAACATTTAAACGATAAAAGACAATGGATTTGTAACCTTATTGTTATACATTCACAAGGCAATATATTGGAAGGGCCTCTCTGCAAACTTAATTTACAGACATCTTTTACCTTAAAAAGGGTTGATTATTGATTTTGGTATTATCCCTCAACAATTGGAACCTAACTTTGATGTAATCAAGGTAAGGTTGTGTTAAATTATACTTGCTTCTCTGTATATACAGTAACAGTAGTGATTGATGTATGTTTTTTTCATTAGAAGTAAGGAATGACTACTGTTTCTGGCTAATGAAATAATTGCAAATTCATACTGCAGACACGGTTTAGTTTTTTTAAGTGACGCTTAAGTATTAAGTAGAGCAAAAATTGCAATATTATATAAATACATAACCATTCCCCATAATGTGGGAAACAAAGTGTAGTTGAAGCACTACTAGATTTTCTTTGTACTCAAATAGAGAAAAGTGCTTTAATAACTAGTAGTACTACAACACCACATACCTTCTCACATTACTGGAAACAGTCACATAATATTGAAATATTGCAATTTCTCCTCAACACCTCAGCTATTACTTAAAAAGCCCAAATCGACCAAAGTGCCTGTGGTGCATATCTGCATTCATTTCAAGAGTCAAGAACAGTAATCATTTCTTACTTCTACAAATGAAACAAACAGGAATAAATTTAACTGCTACCATATTTGCAGCACATTATACAGGAAAGCAAGAGTAATTTCAGTCAAGTTTGCCTTGATTACATTGAACCCTGATTACAACCAGTGCTGTGTGTATGTTCCTTGTGAAATTCCTATGGCATGTGTGTTTGGCCAAAATGTTCTTATCAATCCCAACAACACTCATTTCCACTGCATTCAGAATTCAACTGATTTATGGGTTAAGGTAGCTATCGTAGAATTGAAGAAAATGTGCACAGAATACAGTTTGAGTACGTTATACAGTTTTAACTGTTAAATGGAGGGGAAAAAAACAACAACAAAAAACCACACGTTTTGCATAAATTCCTCAAAAAAATTACCAAACCACAAATTATTTGTAATATCAGGTAATTTACTAAGTTAATTAATATTAATTTAACAATGAGAAAGGATTCTGAGAATACCTAATTGTCTCCAAGCACTCAAATTACAGACAGACACTGCCTTGAACAAAGCATGGGAATTCGAATTTAGTTTCCATTTTTCTTTTTTCTTCCTATTTGCCCCAATTTTCGAAAATAGGACCAGCACCACATTCTTTATTGTTCTTTGCTGCGTACATGAAAGAAGACGCTAAAATTTTTTTAAATTTTTGCATTATCGAAATATTGAGGGTGTCAACAAAAATGAGACTTGCACCATTCTTCTACACACTTTATGCTACTTGAGGTCACAATTAATCAAAACATTTTGTGTTTTTTGACAAAAACATTGTACATGACCTTACTTCAAAACCTCTCTTTAAAGAATTGATTTCATTAAGGTAAAACATCTCTATCTTCAATACTCTATATGTAGGAAAACACAGAAAAAACTGAACTTTTGCAATTTTAGAAAAATCTAGGATTTTAACAAAAATGAGACTTGCACCATTCTCTTCAATATCCTTAAAAATCCAACAAAATTTAATCAAAAAATTGGGTACCATTATCTGAAAAATTTGAAAATGTTCCAGGGTCTGTGGCTCATTTTTTACAACAGAAACTTGAATTCATAATTCTGGCAAGCGCTAAGGAAGAGGAAAATTTCTTATATATCTGTGTAGATGGCACCATGGAGTTCAGGTATTCTTGCTTGCCAAATCACATTCTTAACTTTGTTAGAAGAAACGTGACATATTCTACATTATATATAATATTATATATCATAAAGACACCAGAACTTAAACTGAGGAATGATGCTTCTGATGAAAACATTTTTTGACTATCCAGACAAGCTGAATCCTGTGAAGATGTAGTACCTCATCTCAGGATCGCTATCCCCCAAATTATTTCAATTTTGGTAATGTAGAATCAGCCCTTGGAAACAAACTACAGAGATTTACCATGGCGGACTACACATAGGTGATGGAAGGAAGTTACAAAAAGACAAGTTCAAAAAAACAAATCAGTGTCAGAAATGCCAAAAGAGGACTTCAAAAGACTCATGAAAACTTGAAAAAATGATTAACAACAGGAAGGTGGACACTGAGGGGTAAAGAATTTACTGGCCACAGTTCACTATATTAAACTTGACTAAACAATTTGCTCTTCACATATAAACTAGCCATCACCAAGAATATTTCATTCCAATAGATATTAAGAAAAGACAAAGAATAAGATCGCTTTTCTTTGACTAAGTTGACTATGACGATGACTGACTATGCCTGGAACAAAAAGAGAGAAGCAACAGCCCAGAAGTACAAACTTAATGCTAGTAAATCTATTTGTCAGCTAATAAACGCCTGGCCTTTTTCTGAAAAACTGGATTTCAGTACTGAGAAAGATCACAGATCTCACACTTTCATATAGCTATCCAACTACAATAATAAAGATAGAAATTTTTCTTGAAAAAAAATCATAATTATGGTCTTAAATGATGTCACATAATTTTTCGCAATATATTTTGGAATAATTGTGACTCAAATCTTGCGAATTTTCTAAGAACACTTAAACAAGATTTTATCACAAACATCTCCAAACTTTTTCTTAAAATACTTTGCTTGAATGGAGCGGACTTTGCTTAATGGCACAGTTCAGATTTTCATATTTGGAATTTTAAAAAATTGCAGAAGATCAAAATTTTTTCTACACCATCAAAGATACATTTTGGGGGGAGGTTATGAAATCAATTCCGCAATATTAGATCTTTGAGTAATTTTGTGTACAATATTTTTCAAAATGTAGACAGTTTTCGAGCAATTTTTAGTGAACTTTAAACAAGTTTACACAAATACAAATATAAGAAAACTTTTGAATTTCAAAATATTAAAGGTATAGTGAAACCTATCTTACGCGGGCACCAGTGGTTCCAGAGGTAAATTGGTAATCAATACAGATGACAGCTTAATGAAAATTTTGAGAATGTGGGAAGCACTCTGATATAATTCTGATGTTAGGAATAAAGTTAGCTTATTTATATATTTTTAAGTACATTTAATATACATAATTTCGGAAACTTTTTTATACATATGCTCTTCAACAACTCTTACAGTACAAAATCATTTAATTCCTGGTATTTACATCACTGGTAGTTTCTTCCCATTTGTGGACTTGATTACCACCTATACTTTAAGCAGCAGTTCTCAAGGAAATTTTAGCTCATGCATGAAAATCATTTACCGACATCTGAAACAGAAATTAATCATCCTGCAAATAACCAATTTCAGATATCATCGATCTACATAATCTGACATTGGGTCCTGACACACAAAGGTACTGAAAAAAGTAATTTCCAGCAGCCTTCCACTTTTTATAGTTAGAAATCAAAATCACAAAGTCATCAGAAGTATAATTCATTTAATACAGATGAATCTACAAATAAGGCCAGGTGACCACCTAAACAAAGGACTGCATAATTAAGATGGCCGTTTCAACACATTTTCTTTTTATTCATTTACGTTTTGCTTCCCCTCACAAATAGTATCCGCTTTGTACTTTGCACTCTGTTTAGAGAAAAGACTTTTAAGTATTAAACATTAGTACAATAATAGTTGCAATAATATAAAAGTTCATAACCATAAAAAATAATATGAGATAGTATGTTTTGTTGAAGCACCACTAGTTTAATCCTTTTAGCAAATAAATTAACAAACAAATCAATAAAGTATACATTGATGAACTCAAAGTCTATCTCTGAAGCGAAACTAAACGCTAAATATCTCCATTTATTGTTTATGTGGTTTAGATCACTATTGCTTTCTAGACCTGAACGGTGATGGCTCCAAAGAGAACATTAATATCAACATCAAAAATAAAAAGTCAAAAACAGTAAAAATGTAAGATAAGTTAGAAAGAAATATATTTATGAACTTATATTGTCATTTTCCATTTTTTAAGATAGTTGCCACAAATAGAAACCACAATTTTATGCACCTCATTGTCTTTTATACTAGTGTTCTGCTGTAAACATAAAAAATAGAGATTTTTCCAAGTGAACTTATAAAATTAAGTTCATGTCTAATAGCCATTATAATTTCATTATTTTTGTTATAATTACCTATAGTTATGAAAATCTTAAACCACATCTTTCTCTTTTGCAAGAAAGAGAACTTACCTCGGTAAGTTTGTAACATACAAATTTGTTTCTTTAATATCTTCTCCTGACGGACGAGCAAAAGAAACTTTTAATCTTTTATTCTGCACTTGAAGACCATTGAGAGTTCCGATAGCTCGGGAAGCATCTTCAGCTTTTGCATAGTTAACAAATCCAAACCCATAGCTGTACCCAGTCTACAGCAAAAAATATGGCTCAGTATACTCAAAAAGTATTTCTCATTATTAAGACTTAGTAGATTAACTAACTTTCCTCCTCACCTTGAAGTCCTTCATCACACGACAACTCTCTACAGGTCCAATAGTAACAAACATACTGTACAACTCCTTCTCAGTCATATTCTGTGGCAGGTAGTTAATGATCAAGTTGGTTTTCATATCATTTTCTCTCTTTCCCTGGTATTCAGCCATAGCTTTGTTTTCTTGATTATAGTTTCTGGTTGAATAGTGGGATGGACCCGAGCCCACCCAACTAGGAGGGGAATATATACAAAAATAAAAACAAACTACTGACTTTGATGGGCAACATATTTTGGAGAAAAAAATAAAAAATAAAACATCCAGTGCCTGTCTGAAGGAAAATAAAAAAGAAGTAAAGAAATCATTCCAAATAACAACAATACTCAATCTCTCTTTTAAGGCACAGTCAAAACTTTTAAACACTAAAAACTACTGCTCTAAAATCAATACTAAGTCAACACAAGATGAAAAGTATTTAAACTATGGTGTTGAAATAAAAATAATGATAATTCCGTTTATCCTAAAAGTGCATATTTGACTAAAAACAAATAATTCTTATAAGTACATGTCGGCCTTGACTTCACCGCTACCCTCTAATCCACGAGCATACTACTCAAAAACATGATAAAATAGCATAGAATGCAACTGCCCATTCGTAATCCCGTCGCAAAATGAAACATTAAAAATATAAAAAACTTGGCGACATACCACAACTCGAAGTGAAAACGTTAATAACTGTAATGAAGACTTTAAGATTCTTACCTCCGGGCACAAACAATGCAGATGTGCTACATTAAACAATTCAACATTTACGTTTTATGAATATTGTTTAAAAGCAGTTTCATGAAAGTTAATAATGAATTATATCAAAACACTATCATTTGACAGTCTCCAAAATTTGTATCACACACTCGTTACTTTTAATAACATGAATGACCTAAGTTCAGGATTTACTCACTACGATTCTTGGTTAACGTAGTAACGTACCCTATGGCATCCGTCCATTTTGAATATTGCACTTTGCCGCAATGCGATTTTTGGTTGTTTCCATCTTTTTTCTTATTTAAATTTTCGACGATATGTTTTTATTAAAAATTATTATATTTTACATGTTTAATATGATACTTAAAATAGTTATTTGTTTGGAAAAAGTATTAAAATTAAGGTAAATGCCTGAAATATAATTATAAATGTTACTATTTCCTGTCATTCATAAAAGCGCGCAATATAAATTACGCAAATATTGTTCCCCAAATATCTTTATTGCGATTAATAAATTTCTTGCAATTGAACAAATATTTTTTATAATAATCATTAGTTTCAATCCACAATTGACAATGGTGCTTGTGGATTAACTATAATACTTACCCGAGAACGTATACGTTGTTTAAGGAGTCTCAATTACCTAATTTTTGCGCTGATCTGGCAAAAGATACTTCTGCGACAATTAATGACTGCAATAAATTTGGTCACTAACTCATCTACGTAAGTCTTGATGTGTGTGGCAGATGATAGTATTATTCTATCGTTTCTGTCATGCTGTTTCCATGCATTTAAGACTCCCAACATCAAACTGAATATATATATATATATATATATATATATATATATATATATATATATATATATATATATATATATATATATAATTTTAACATAAATTGATAGTTGGAAGTGCAAACTCAATAGAATGTGTTTTGTTGCAATATATGCTATTAAATAAATGTATAGAAGTGGTGCAAGTGAGAGAAAGTAAAAGTATTAAATTATATAAAGAAGTCAATAGGACAAAACAAAGAAAAATGAGACTCGAAATTGACAGGTTGTGTTAGAACAGAATGCAGAAAGGAAATTTTGGGAGTTCTTGAAATGTACTCCAGAAATATATTTTACTACATTAATACAGTATTCTTTAAAACTCCTTTTCCGAAATATTTTCGAGAAAATGCTTCCTGTAGGGTACATAATAGAAGCGCAAATTCTAAGAATGTATCTCAAATTTTCTTCATACGTGAAGGGCAAAATTTGAATTCCCGCGCGAGCTTGCCATCCTAATGGCGGATTTCTCGGGGTTCAATTTGGGAGTACGTTTCGCTGCCGGCCGCTACGGGGTGGAGGGGCCCCGGTCTGCGATATATCAGTCGTGACCAGTGACAGGCTCTCTCACGCCAAGACACTCACTCTCACACACAGACACACCACATCACAATCACCGAAAGAGGTGTCAGGACGCAGTAGGCCGTTTGCGGTACGATTTATGAGAGTCAGTGGCTTCTCCTGGCTAGTAGACATGGAATGCGATCATATTACAGGTTGAACGTGTAATTCCAAATATTTAAAGTATCCGTCATTCTACTTTACTCTGAAGTATTTTAGAAGTTTATTTTGCTAATTAGATACTGAATCTTACTTGAATATCACCAATTTCTCATTGCATGCATGTATAAACAAAACAATAAAACTTAAAAATGAACCATAAAAAGTGCACACCTAATTTTTGAACTCAAAATCTATTCCCCTCTGGGAAAATACAGTGGTCACGTTCTCTTGAATTGAGGGTTCGACGGAAGATCGTCCAACAATACATTTTGTTTTAAATATCTCACCCGCAAATCCCATGATCACTGTCATATATCTCACCACTAAAATGATACACACAATTCTTCAGTGATATTTAATTTGATCGGATGGCAGATGGCTGCTAGTGACGTGTATGTATGAAACTCAGCGGAAACAAGCGATTGGAGATGTTAACCAGATAGAACTGTTGCAGAAAGTTACCAGGATCAAGAGTTACATCTGATGATAGCGTAATCTCGGCAAAAGGATAATTTATCATATACTACAGACAAACAGTGAGGTTATGTTACTTTCCTCGCCACGGTCCCTTTATCTAGTCCGAACATCGATATCTGGGGAAGAGACATCTAGTAGTAGTTTTTTTACTTTAAAATACTGTTATACTTCAGACAAAATGCGAGGTGGTCTCTCGTCACGGAATATTTATTAACCTGAGGGCGAAGAGCGGCGGCGATGGTGTAACGGTTAGCGTACCGGACTGTTGTACCCAAGTTCGCGGGTTCAATCCCGATCGAAGCCGTGGATTTTTAAGGGCGAGAAAATCTTTCATACGCCCTCCTTCGGAGGGGAAGTAAAGTTCGTACATTTACTTGCATGTACAAGATCCTCAAGCCTAAATGACGCCTCTGAGCTAAATTCAAATCGCGTGTTTCTCGCCCAAAAACCTTTCTCCGCTAGTTGGTGAAAGGAACGTAGCGAAATTTGCGTGGTCAGACGGAAGAGCAGGCCTCATGGGCTGAGTCTCGCCACGTAAAATAAGGCATTAATTCAATTCAATTCAAGAGACATTTAGTAATGCTTGCAACGAGTTAGATCTCTAACTCGTTGACTAGTTGTTGCAACTTTTTCGACGGATCCTTACTGGGAACTTAGGTGATTGTATTTAGTATTAAAATCAGTAGATATCTCAGATAATATTGACGCTGGGAAACTAACGATAAATTTAGAAACGTGAATTCAAAAATGCCACCAAAAAAGAAAGCACGGAAGATATATTGCACAGATTATTGAATGAGTTAATAGCTATTAACATACCTAGAAATGTTATGAGTGTTATTACTGCCGATGCCAAAAGATAAAAATCGAGGCAGAGCGGACTGTAACATTTAGTGGTATGTTCAGCATTTTATCGGTCACCATAAAATCTCAATTTTTTAAAAGAAAATTTACATTACTGCGATATGAAACACATGAATTCTGTTGATGCGGTACGATAATCGATACTGTTGGGTATTGCTAGCAATATATCTTTTTCAACAATACACTTGTATACCGTGGCTAGAGGAAGATGGAAATTCGTCTGTACTTCAAAAATTACCAAATATTTATTTTTCAAACTGCACAATTAATAACATAATTAACAATAAACATCCCCCAAAATAATGCTTTTCTTTGATTACTATTTGTCTTGTAAATTACCATGCGTTTTTTTCGTAATAATGTTGACTTGCGATGAATGGTTGGTTGTTTATTTAAGTTATTAAGGACATTAAAACCCGTTGCTAAGGATTTTAAATTTCTTAATCTACAGGTACGTACAAGTGCACTTCACAAACTTATAGGGTTGCATGTTAACAAGGGTTTAAGACGCATGTGACCGATAAGAGAAATTAGAAAACAGGCATCAGATTTTCGTGAAAACATGAAGACAGATATTTCTGAGCTGAATACAAGACTAGCAACTGGATGAAATTTCACTCCGAAATAAAAATGACGTGGACTAATTATTAAAATAGATGGGAAATATGAAGAGATAACAAAACGTTCTGAACAAAGGCTAAAACTAATAGAAAAAGGGACCGAAACAAATATTAGACCAGAAAAGAAAAACAATTTCATAATAAAAAGCAAGCTAATAGATCCCCATGACAGAGCAAAAACTGTAAACATTACAAAGAGTATCCTACAACAGATTGAATTATCGCAGAATTTTCAAGAAGCATTTCCCTTGGAAGTGGAAAAGGGTGCAATATTAACAAAGGAAAGGAAAACGACGGTGACCTGCAAAAATGTACATGCGAAAACAACGGAAAAGGAAATATTAATGGTTCCAAAACTACAGAAATTTAAGCAAAAGTAACGTTTGAAGATGACAATCGGAAGACACTGATGTGTCTTCAAAGAATTCTGATAAGATCTTCAAATGTACAAACTTTAAGAACCCAAGATATACTTGTGGAGTTACAGGAAGCATTGCTATCAGTAGAAGTTGATATTCTGTGATTCTGCAAAGTAAGACGCCATGGATAGACAACAATGGAGTTGCAAGAAGTAAAACAAGTTTTCTGGAGGAAAACGCAATGAGTAAGGAGTTGGCTTCATATTCTCTAGTAGAATCGAAGGAAATGTTACAAATATTATAGCGATTTCAGACAATTATAATTACCAAACTAACGTTCACCAAGATGACAGTAATACAAACTTTCGCAGCAACTTCAACGTCTACGGAGGACGAAATGCAAACATTCTACGAGTTAGTCGAAACATTACGAGCGGCAAAATTCAAAAATAAATTTTGTGATCGGGAACTTCAAATGTAAAATTGGCCGCAAAAACATGGAGGTGAAAAATGTATAGGTCCTTTTGGTCACGGCGAAAGAAATAACAGAGGTGAACTATTGATGAGATTTGCCCAGTCACAATACGAGAATAACAAATTCATTCTTTCGCAAAAGTTTGAGGGAGAAAAGGACGTAGAACCGTCCGGGAAGTAAAATTTAAAAAAATGAAATAGACTTTATTCTCTGTGATTCTTCATATCTTTTATCGGATGTTCAGGTGATTAGATACTTAAATTTTGATACCACATGGTACGCGCGAAAATGGAAATAGAAAACTCAAAAATACGAAACAGACTGTACAAAAAGAGGTTCCTCAAATCCAATCTTATGGATGTGCCCAAATAAAAGTCAACGCTTTCTAATAATCTCTACAAAATCCAATGGTCATAAACATTACATGTACAAATCCAATATTCTACACTTGAAGAATGTGTAAAAACGTCTGTGAAAATGTCTTCTTTCACAGACAAGTCAAGAAAAAGACGGAACAAATTAAGTGAGGGCACAAGAAATTTATTAATCTTCGACAAAAACTAAAGCTAAACAAAGTTGAAAACACAGCTCTACAAACAGAATATAAAGAAATCAACAAACTTACGTAAAGAAACATTAGGCGTGACCTTAAAAAAAGAGCTTAGTAAAAAACATTATGTGCACAACCATATCTCTTAAATGAATTAAAATGTCACAGAGCTTAGGTAAAAAATTGATCCCACAGCTAATAACGACTGATTGCACTGTTGCCACATGAAGATCTAAAATCGTAGAAACAATCACACAATTCTACGAAAATATTTACACAAGCAAAAAATAAAAAGCCATGCGGTAATATAAGACTTCCTGGGAAGTTTAAAACACAATTCCCTCGTTCCAGAAATCTTATCAAGCGAAATCAAACATATTGTGAAAAAGATACGCTCAAATAAAAGTCCCGGAGAAGAGAGTATTATAGATGAATATCTGGTATTTTAAATTAAACTAATACTTCTACTTACCATTATTTTTCACACACTGCTGTAAGACTATATAGAAACCGAATACCATAATAATATTTCACAAGAAGGGTTCAAGAGAAAATACTGAACACTACCGGCCATTTTGTCAAATATATTCAAAATATTCTATTGTTAAGGATTCTAGTTAGTTCCATTCAATTTCTCGTATCTTATTCTACCTATATACCAGTTTTCATGACGATAAGCCGAAATTAATTTTTCCCCAAATTTGTAACGTAATGGAGGGGGGGGGGGGGTTAACATTCGCATTTAGCCCAAGTCGCATTTCGCATGTAACTCCGAAACTTATTTTCACCGGATTCTAGTTAGTTCCTTTCAACTTCTCATATCTTGTTCTACTTATATGCCAGTTTTCAATAAAATAAGCCGTAATGTTTCTTTCCCAAATTTGTCACGTCATGGGAGGGTATTTCGAACTTTCGCATTTAACCCAAATTGTATTTCGCATGTAACTCCGAAACCATTATTTTGACTAGATTCAAGTTAGTTCCAATCAATTTCTTGTATATGTTCTACCTATATGCCAAATTTCATTACAAAAAGCCAAAATTATTTTTCCCCTCATTTGTCACGTAATTGGGGGATATTTTGAATTTTCGCATTTAGCAAAAGTCGTATTTCGCATGTAACTACGAAACCATTATTTTGCCTGGATTCTATCTAGTTCCATTCATGTTCTCGATTCTTGTTCTACTTATATGAGTTTTCATGACGATAAGCCAAATTTCATTTGGTCCCAAATTTCTCGCGTAATGGTGGGGGGTATTTATGAAAACTGGCATATAAGTAGGACAATATGAAAGAAATTGAAAGGAACTAATTAGAATCCGGTGAAAATAATAGTTTCGAAGTTACATGCGAAATACGACTTCGGCAAACTGGGAAAGTTCAAAATACTTCCCCATTATGTGACAAATTAAGGAAAAATATAATTTTGGCTTATATTAACGAAAACTGGCATAAAATAGAACAAGATACGAAAAATTGAAAGGAACTAACTACAATCCGGTCAAAATAATAGTTTCGGAGTTACATGCGGAATACGACATCGGAAAAATGCGAAAGTTCAAACCCCCACCATTACGTGACAAAGCAGGAAAAAAATATTTTGGCTTATTTTAATGAAAACTAAAATATAAGTAGAAACAGATACGCGAAATTGAAAGGATCTAACTTAAATCCGGTAAAAACAATTGTTTTGGAGTTACATGCGAAATACGACTTCGGCTAAATGCGAAAGTTCATAATAACCCTCTCATATAATAATAATTATAATAATAATAATATTACGTAACAATGGAGTTAAAAAATTAATTTCAGCTTAATTTATTGAAAACTGGCATTTAAGTAGAACAAAATACGAGAAATTGAAAAGAACGAACTAGAATCCGGTCAAAATAATAGTTTCGGAGTTAAATGCGAAATACAAATTCGGCTAAATGCAAAAGTTAAGAATAAGATCCCCCCCCCATTACGTGACAAATTGGCGAAAAATTTAATTTCAGCCTTTCGTATTTAAAACTGGTTTATAAGTAGCACACGATCCGAGAAAATGAACGTAACTAATTAGAATCGTATTTCGCATGTAATCCCGAAAAATTCATTTTGACAGGATTCTAATTAGTTCCCTTCAATTTCTCGTATCTTGTTCTACTTATATGCCAGTTTTCCTTAGAAAAAGCCGAAATTATTTTTTTCCCCCCTCATTTGTCACGTAATGAAGGGGTATTTTGAACTTTCGCATTTAACCTAAGTCGTATTTCGCATGAAACTACAAAACTGTTATTTTCACCGGATTCTAGTTAGCTCATTTCAATTTAACGTATCTTGTTCTACCTATACACTAGTTTTTATGCCGATCAGACGAAATTATTTTTTTCCCAAATTAGTCACGTAATGCAAGGGTATTTTGAACTTTCGCATTTAGCCCAAGGTGTATTTCGCATGTACCTGCAAAACTATCATTTTGACTGCATTCAAGTTAGTTCCAATCAATTTCTCGTATTTGTTCTACTTTTATGCCAAATTTCATTACAAAAAGCCAAAATTATTTTTTCTCTCATTTGTCACGTAAAGGATATTTTGAATTTTCGCATTTAGCCAAAGTGGTATTTCGCATGTAACTCCGAAATCATTATTTTGACTGGATTCTATTTAGTTCCATTAATGTTCTCGTTTCTTGTTCTAACTATATACCAGTTTTCATGACGATAAGCCGAAATTTTTCCCCAAATATGTGTCGTAATGGGGGGGGGGGGGTATTTTGAACTTTTGCATTTGGTCAGAGTTGAATTTCGAATGTAACTCTAAAACTGTTCTTTTCACCCGATTCTTGTTAGTTCATTTCTAATTTGTTGTATCTCTTTCTACTTATAAGCCAATTTTCAACAAAATAAGCCGAAATTAATTATTTTCCCAATTTGTCACGTATTGGGGGAGTATGTTAAACTATCGCATTTAGCCCGTATTTAGCCCATTTAGTCGTATTTCGCATGTAACTCCGAAACTAATATTTTCACCGGATTCTAGTTAGCTCCTTTCAATTTCTGGTATCTTGTTCTACCTATATACCAGTTTTCATGACGAGAAGACGAAATTAATTTTTTCACAAATTGGTCACGTAATGCTGGGGGTATTTTGAACTTTGGCATTTAGCTCATTCATTTAGCTCAAGTCGTATTTCGCATGTAACTCCAGAACATATTTTCACCGAATTCTAGTTAGTTCATATTATATATATATAGTGTATCCTTCTCTTCTAATTTAATATGCAGTTTGGCCAATAAAATAGAGGCGAAATTTAATATTTTCCCCCGAAATTGATCACGTCATGGGGGGGGGGGGGGGTTATTTGAAACTTTCGTATTTTGCTGATATTGTATTTCGCATGTAACTTTAAAACCATTATTTTCACCGGATTCTATTTAGTTTATTTCAATATTTCGTATTTTGTCCTACCTTATTGCCAGATTACAATTAAATAAACCGAAATGAATTTTTTCCCGAATTTGTCACGTTAAGTGGGGGTATTTTAAACTTTCGCATTTTGCTCAAGTCGTATTTCGATATTAACACCGAAACTATTATTTTCACCGGATTCCAGTTAGCCCCTTTGAATTTCTCGTATCTTGTTCTACCTATATACCACTTTTCATGACGAGAAGACGAAATTATTTTTTCCCGAATTTGTCACGTAATGGGGGGTATTTTGAACTTTCGCTTTTAGCACAAGTCGTATTTCGCATGTAACTCCGAAACTGTTATTTTAACCGGATTCTAGTAAGTTCCTTTCAATTTCTCGTATCTCTTTCTACTTAAATGCCAGTTTTCAATAAAATAACCCAAAATTAATTTTTCCCCAAATTTGCCACGTAAAGGGGGGGAATTTTGAACTTTTGCTTTTAGCACAAGTCGTATTTCGCATGTAACTCCGAAACTTTTATTTTAACCGGATTCTAGTAAGTTCCTTTCAATTTCTCATTTGTCACGCAATGGGGGGTATTTTAAACTTTCGCATTTAGCTCAAGTCGTATTTCGCATGTAACTCCGAAACTATTATTTCACCTGATTCTAGTTAGTTTCATTCAATTTCTCATATCTTGTTCTACTAGTATGCCAGTTTTCAAAAAAAGAGCCAAATTTAATTTTTTCCCGAATTTGTCACGTTATGGGGGAAGTATTTTGAACTTTCGCATTTAGCCGAAGTCGTATTTCGCATGTAACAAACTATTGTGTTGACCGGAATCTAGTTAGTTCCTTTCCATTTCTCGTATCTTGTTCTACTTATATTTTAGTTTTCATTAAATTAAGCTAAATTTGTTTTACATTACAGAACTTTCTCTATTCTACGTATATTACTCCATACGTATTATATATTATATTGAGTATAAGAGAAATTAAAAATGAAAAAGAATATCGAGAATCCTTTCAATAAAATTAGAGTGCGGGTAATATTAGTCAATTATATAGTAGTTACATAAACATTGCAGTTTTCAAGTGTTTAATGATAACTTTGGGTTAATTAAACACAATTTTAAAAAAAGGCAATATTTATTTTTTGACGTTTAAAAAGTATTATCATATCATACACACATTTCATTGTATTGATTGAGATGTCAATTTATTAGACGTTACAGATTAAAATATTTTGGAAATTTAAATTTTGATCATTTAATAAATACTAATCTCAAGAGCTCACCATGCAAGGAAAAGCTTCCAGGCAATGAATGCTTGCATGACACAATGCCTTGAAATGGCCAGAACTGAATTGCAACAAACTTTAACAAACAATTTATAAGTTGTAAATGGAAAATCCAACCAAATTTTCCTATTTCTGACACATAATATGACCAACAAGACATAAGAATGAAGTCTACACAAATTGATTTTTACAATGCATTTGGCCCCCAAAGCTCACTCTCCCTCAAATTATACTGATTCATTGCTTCAATGAACTATCACTAGTTCCTCTCCTCTGCACGTTGCTGAGCTTCCAATCATGTCACTTCAGCCAATGAGTAGGTTGGCCCTAGGTAGAGTTGGCCAGTCTCACAATTTCACTCTTTTCAAATTCCAGCAGAGCTAGCGAAGTTATGTATGTTCACAGGATATATGTTGATATGGAAGTACCCTACCCCATCTTGAGCAACAGCATGACACCTATTAAAGTTGGTGTTAGAAAAAGGCTTTATTGTTTGCTTTGGTACACGTACATACACAAACTGGATGGAACAGTGCAAGATATATTTCAGAAAGATAATAAGCATTCTTTTATGCATTTACTAAATAAAAATAGAAAAATAACCTAACGCATTTTAAAAACTATTACTATATCCTAGTGATTGGATCGCAAGTTCATAAACACCTAACATTCAATACAAAGTATAAAATATTTATAGCAGTCAAAACACTGCTTACATTCTTAACACACATTATTGCCACAATAAACAAATCTATAAAAGTTTTTGAAATTTTTGTTGGATATGTAATTTTAAATATTAACATATGCCAAATTATAAGTGGTTTGCAAGATTGGTATTGAAGAATGAAATCTTTAAGGTTGATAACAAGTATGGTAGAATTTCACAAAAAGTACAGTAGTTGAAGACTCTAGACATTCACACTAAACACGCCACATTCAATCCTTAGTAAGTAACTTACACAACGTACTTTTTTAAAAAAATGTATAAAGTATATAGTCTATGATATCTTTAATGTACAATATGTGCAGATGAACTTGTATACACTCATACCCATGCAGAGTCACAGCTGACGATCATACACGCGCAGAGAGTCACAGCTGACGAAACGTTCAGCTACAGAGAAAAGGCGTTCATTTCACATCACTTCACGAGAGCACATGGTAATGATGACTTGTCAAGGGTACTAAAGTATGGATGATTAACAGCACTTTTTGCTGATATGCGCTCAGAAGGATTATATTCCAACATTTTCTGGGGAAAAAAAGTAAAACAAACATATGTTATTTAAACAGGACTACATTAACTTACAAATATCTTTTAACACTTCATATTTTACAACATTGTTTCAGCACAGTTTTTCTGAGTAGCAACATAAGAATGTTGAATGAAAATGTGTTCTTGTTGATTAATTCAGTGACATTACTATTTAATTAGAACAAATTTCTTTGCAATACCTTTCTCAGCCCCGACATTAAACGCAAAGTACCTTGAGTATCACCTGGATAATTACACTGGTCTACAACATTTTTGTAACAAAGAATGTGAATGGTGTCCCTAGCTAAGACTTGGACACTGAATTCAAAAATGAAATCAGTTTTCGCTGTCAGGCTCAGTGATCTTGTGACATGCTACTTCCTGTTCCAGGGCACTAGAATTAACACTATTGCTAAGAATACTGCAATCAAAATCTGCAAGAGGTTAAGGTGAAGTTATCCACCCAATTTCCGGCCAATAATTTATTTATTGTTTATATTATTTGATGCTTTATGTAACCATTATCTATAATTTATAATATAATTATCATACTCTTAGTCTCGAATTTTCAAACACTAATGATTACTAATTGAAAATTCCATAATAATAATAAATAATTATTCTATAAAATTTCCTTGCTTGCCTCCTATAATTGTATAATTTTTATTATAGTAATGAAGGATTATTAAAGTGATAGATAATCTGCACTGCTTGTTTGTCTATTAGGACTTCAAATACATACCTAATGGAAAAGAGTTAAAGTTGATCTTCAGAGTTCTAATTACTTGAATCAACTAGACTAACTTATCCCTAGAAACTTATCATCAAATGACCTTATGAGACTTTTTTTATGTTTTTGTAAGTATAGTACTTTTTATTACTACAAGTCTCCATATAACACATCAATATCTTTATGTTAGAAGAAATTAGACCACCAGAAAAAGTATAAGTATTGGTCAGGTACGAATGAATTATTAGAAATGAGTTGTAATTAATTACATATCATTCATTTTATTATAATCCTTCCATATTTTTGTTTTTGAGACTTTCAAACATTATTAACATGTGAAATACTAATACATAGTTAGGACATCCATTTTAAATGTCTAATTTACACAGCAGTTTATCAAGAAATCACTTAAGGATATATTTTTAATCACACAAAACTCTCATCAATTCCATTACTCAAAACCATTGATGTCATATTTCAATTAGTTGAACACCAAGTTCATGCTCATTTACAGACGAGATGTTTCACTCCAACGAAAGGTGAGACAAGGTTTATCACATAACAAAAAGACTTCCACAGAAGAGAGCCTGACATTGAAAGACAAGGACAATAATCAACTGTATGCATTCTATCTATCAGGGATGGATGTGTTCATGGTTTCAAAAGTTTGTTGTTCTGACAGGAAGTAGATGCAGACGCCACATTGAAAATGTCTTTGCTATTATGTGAATTAAAAAATATGGTGCTGTTCAAGCTCCAGATTGGATAAAACCTTTATCAGCTGATTTAATTCAATTGCAGCTCTAAATAGATCTGAGTATAAGATATGGATTTGAAAAAAATTGAAGCAATGAAGTTTAATCTCATACCTCTTTTGAACTATATAGTTAAGGAAATGTATTAGAGACAATTCAAGCCTAACAATTTAATATTGCATAATACAGAATTGGAAATGACAGGTTTTACTTCTCACTTACATAATTACCAATTATCTACTTAGAAAATTGTATGTCTTAACTGTAGCTGATGGTCCTTTCTCAAGAATTACTATCAAGATCCGGCCAAAAATTAAGAGCATCCAAAACCTTTCAAGTTCATTATATTGCGATTTTTTTTATTACATCAAGAGACCAGCAGCATTGTGAATCCATATGAATAAGTTAAATTTCGTCATGATAATTTGACTGAAGAAAAATAAGAGTTAATACACAAGAAAGTGCACAGTCAGTAAACTAGGGTTAAAATGGGCAAATTGTCAGTTTTAAATAATGAGTTTTTTTTAGAACCTACGTTTTATGAATCAAATTGAAGCATCATGACAAGTGGAAAAAAAGGGCATCTGTAATGAGTATAATTGAAATACAACTTTGCTCATGTTAGACGTTACACATTTGCCAAGGACAACCTAAAAATTTATATGTAACACATTTGTAACAAGTATCTATCCACAACTTTATTTCTTTACACGACCCAAATATCATGAGATTAAATGTTTTAAAAAGAAAGTAATTTACAGCTTATACTTCCACTTCATTGAAACACCTTTTGACTATAAAGTACTGATATACATTCAAATTTGTCATTCGATTGTTTTGGGAATTTAAGAATTTCTTTACCTTACGCACTTATAACTGATTTAGAACTCAATTTCATTTCCATTCAATTTCAATTCCCACTGTTTTATTATCGATTTCATTTGGTAACAACAACTAATATTATGCATCAGAAAACTAAATAGTTAAATTTAAGAAAAGGAAAGCATGAGAGAAACCAACCTGCAGTAAATCTAGTCCTTTCTCATCCATTCCTTGAACAGAATTTGCAAGTGTATTCTGTGTCCAATTCGGAAATGATGATTTATAATCTGGCAATTTACTTACTCCTGGCCATATTTCTTCTGTTGGAGTCCTTAGGGTTCTAAAACATTAAAGTTCTATGATAATAAGGAATTTTCAAATTCAATAATAAAAAATAAAATTCTTGGGGTTTAGAAAATAGGAATATACTAAATTTTCCAATTTTCATTTCTAGTTGCTCACTTAAGCGAAAACATTACAGAATATCCAAGATTATCATCTCTCCCTCTAAAAATGAAACCAAAATTATTTTGATTACACCCACCTTGGTCAGAGCAACATTAATTTAACAGGAAAATTCCTGCCCTCCCTCCCACCGAGCTCACACACTCCCTCCCTAGCACAACACTCATATGCAAGTTAGGGCCGGTTTCACCAAACAAAGAGTAAGAGTTTACTCTTGGAGTAAATCATGTTTACTCGAGAGTAACTTCTTGGAGCGTTTCACCAACACTTTACTCGGTGTAAATGCTTACACGAGAGTAAATTTGATGAGTACTTTACACCGGAAAAATCCGTCGGGTAAGTTACAAGAGTAAATTCATTTTAGCTGCATATATGTCCGAATGGTTGTTACGGTTCACGACGTTACGATATAGTATTTGAAGAGCGATTCCAGAAATAATTCGGATATTATCCAAGTGCGAAGACAAAGGGTGCGAAGAGAATGATTGGTTTTAATTTATACGATCGATTTGTCATGAGGTTATGTTTGACCCAAATAGCCGTTTAATTCATCAGATCATTTGAAAGTGTAGAAATATCTAAAGTTATTTTTCTCCCCATGTGGATAATATTTTTTGAGTAAAAAAGGTATACGTAGAATACGAACAAAGGAAAAATACTAACTCAGGAACTAGAGTATTAAAGAAATATTTCATTTTTTTATTCAGTAAAAACTGTATGTGACGTATGCGGAGATATTTGCCCACGTTTTTTGAGTTGAATCCTTTCCAAATTTTAACTACAAATAGTGAAAGGTAATAAAAGTTTAAAAAATAAAACAACAAATAAAAAAAATTTGAAAAACACGAGATCAAGCAACTTGAGAAACTAAACATTTCTTCCCTAGTTTAGAAAATTAATTTCACTGCGATCAGAACAAACACAAATTGATTTTTCTGCCATTGCTAACAAAATAGTACTCGTCTCCAGAGGAAGAGAATGAATATTTATTAAGAAATAAAAGAACTCAGAAATAGGAAATAAATATGCTAACTCAAACCAATAAACCACACCAGATCTATAACGCAAAATCGAAACTGAAATGAAATAGAATATTAAGAATTAATCAAAGGTGCCATTGGCCACATTGGTTCTCGTCATTCTCAGCTACAAGCCTCTAATCAACTCTCAAATATTGTGTGTTCAGCTGATTGCGGGATAAATAGGAGTAGATGTATTGCTCTAGAGTAAGAAAATCTCTAGAAGCATGGTGAAACGCTCTATTTACTCGAGAGTTACATTTGGAGTATGGTTACCGGGTCTACTCTCAACTTTATGGCTGTTGATGAACCGGCCTATCAGTGCTCCTCAATCACTTCAGCTTGCACCTACCACTGGCATTTGTGCTCAACCGGCAATGTTAGATTACTTACTATCCTGGTTTACAGCGAGTGGAGGAGGAGAGAGGGGGACGGGAAACGGGAGGGAGAAGAGAGGAGAGAAGAAGAGGAACAGAGTGGAGAGAGGAGGGAGAGGGGGGAGAGAGGGGAGACTGGTTAAAAGAAGAGAAGAAAAAAGTGTTTTTTAAATTATACTGATCATTTAATTTCTGCTGGAGTAGTACTAAAATTATTTAAATCCTATCCGTAACACAACATATTCCATGATAAATGAATGATTTTGAAATTATATCTGAAACCATTACAATTTATACCTGCACAAATATTGTAAATGAAGAAGCAAGTGCTTAGAGCCTCTTTTTGCCTACATACCTGAAAATACGAAAGAGTTGATCAATCTCTGAATCTCCTTGAAATAATGGTTTTCTTGTGACCATTTCAGCAAAAATACATCCAATAGACCACATATCAATGGGACAAGAATAGCGATTTGAGCCAAGCAAAATTTCAGGTGCTCTGTACCACAACGTCACAACCTGCAACCACACAAATTTAACATGTGGCATGACAACAAAATGAACATTACACCATGCAAAATAAGGCTACAAAAATCTTTAAATCTCTCAACAAACTCATAGCAGGAGAGCTCATAAATAGCATAAATGAAAAAAGCACTTGAGTATTCTGAATATTGGCATAGTTCAGTAAAACAGTCTTTTTCAAACTTCTTGTACTTGATAAGGTCATTAGTTAAAAAATAATATGAAAAAAACTAAAACGGAAAGAATGTAACTGCAACGAATGTTTGGGGAAGAGATGGCTACATTATTGTAACAGACATCAAAGATTCACTCATGATCACATGGACACTGAAACAAAACCATGATCAATGAAGATGACTATTGCTTTTATATTCACATATATACATATACCCTGCAAGATATCAAATGAATGCTAGTGCTGGAAATTCAATTTTATAAGTTTAACATTATTGAGGTTCTTTTGTTAAAGTATACTGGTATAATTTATTTTCTATAATTTTATTTGCTTCAATTCCCTTCAATACCAGTGAAATTTAAAATGCTATGAAAGCATAGGGAAAACTGAGCAACTAACTAGCGACAACTAAAATCACTCTGGTGCAAAAATTATTACAATTAATAATAATATGCTTTTCATGTACACAAATGCACACGTGAACTATTTTTTCTATTAACCACTAATCTTGGAATAAAATTTCAAAAAACGTTCATTTTGTAGATTAGGTTGTAGAAAACACTGTCTCAATGCGACTTGAAAATAAGGTTTTAAGGCTCTACAATGCCTTGTTTCCAAGTTAAGTATGATAGTAGTGTTGCAGCATGTTGCCCTTGGAATATACACAACCCCCCTTGCCCTCACACACACCTCTGTTCCTCCCAATAAATTTTAACTCCGTCAAATTTCACAATTCTTTGTAATCACAATATACTTCAAAAAGGGGTCTGACATTTTCTCTTCATATATTAAGAAAAAAAATTATTTTTTTTTCATTTCAAAACTCCAGGTTTGCCAGCCACCCTGGAAGTGCTCAGGACTGCTATGAAATGGTGGTGTTTTGGAGACTTTTAGCATGAAGACCTTTGTGACCTCCCTGCCTCCTGCAACAGTCAAACAGTTGCATGGCAACGCCAGGAACATCCAATCATCAACCAATGCCAAATGTTCCGTACATTTATTCTTTCACTTGATGACAATATGTTACTAAAGTTACGAAAGTTTATACACTTGGACCCCCTATTGAAATTTTTGTTTTTACCACAAAACAGACGTGTATGCATTTGTCCTGTATCAACAAAACAATTTCAAGAACATCTTTACAATAATCTGTGTCAGGAATATTCATAGGAAACACCACCAAGGCAACTGAGACCCTGATGACAGACTGCTAGTAGTGTGCGAGTAAGATTTTCGTAATATGACAGGCAGTAGGTCATAAAAGGTCTCTATTCCAATTGGCACATAAACACTATTTACAACGTACGTGCTATGAAGCACTTGTGCTTTACAGCAGATAAAAATTTATATTTATGGATTTTAATAGGTGGCTGGTAAAATTTCATGTCAATCGAAGTATTCAGCACAGTGACAGTTGTGTGTTGGATATAGAGTAAGTTGTGTAAAAGAGAGGTATCCGCAGGACACACATATAGTTCTATGAAGGTAATGACCACAGACAGTCTTTTAAAAACATCAATACAATTGTTATTTCCTTTACCTTTAATAAAAACATAATTGCAGAAGAAATATACGTTTACATTATTTCAACCAGCATTCTTATGAAGTTCAAAATTGACTTTAGCATATTAAAAAAAAAAACACCATAAGTTTCGGTAAATAGGTTAGCAAAATTCCTTTTCATGACATATTAAGTAAAGGTTTTTACAAGTGAGAAACATCGCAAATATATTGGACAATGACAATGAATAAACATGAACAGCTGGTCCTGGTAGGGCATGCTCATCATAATGCATCAAGAAACTGACAATTTAATTAAGTGAAATTTGTCTGTTCCTTCACCTCCCCTTCGCCATCGCTGTCTTCATGACACAATATTAAATTCGATGCCACGAGTTATTATTTAGAGCGACTTTTTTTTATAAAAATATAATTTCATACGTGCAGAGTCAATTCAGAATCCATTGAATAAATGTCTTAGCTACCTTGTATTCTTTTCTGCTATACTTAAGAAAAACAAAGACTTTAAAAATCAAATTATAATTGTGTTTTTTAATGCCTAAAACACAACACAAACAGCACTAACTCTTAACACTTTGCAAACAAGATTATGACAGAGTTAACAGTCATTTTTCAGATGGGATCAACCTCCAGTATTGTGTATGCTTCCACAATGACAACTTCAAAGCAAGCGCTAGAAAACCAATAATATGAATGAAAGCTAGCTTTCAACCCTGTCAGGAACCTATTAATTTACCCAGGAAGTTATTTGATTCTGCTGATGATAAATGTGAAGAACATTACCTTTACATTATTAGCAACACTAAATACCACTTAAAATGAAGATTAATGCAACACTGATAAGAAAATAAAAACCTGCAGAAGGCACAAAGAAAATAGTTACATTTCTTCTTTAAACTGCCAATAAACAACCTTCTCTGCAAAGTGAAGCAAAAGGAATATCTATTTAAATAGGTAAATCACATTCTCATATTTGTATAATTATTTTGACTGATTAATACTAAATTCAATCTATTTGATACCTTTTAATTGATGTAATGGCAAATAAAAGGTGTATCTGTATCTCCAGCACACATGCAGGAATATTTCTTTTTATTCCTCTGCGAAAGTATACCAACGGTAATTATCTACTGCAGATTGACACATGCTTGGGGATGCTGCTCTGGCAGCATTGCAGCAAAACAGCATGTAGAGATTTTTCAACTGTATTTTTCCCAGAATCGGCTGGGGAACCACTTTGAAACTTGTCAGACTTGTGAAGCACACTTCAGAGACAATGGAATTTTTTTCTAATGTTTAAATTGTCAGGTTTAGGAAGAAATTTAAAAAATAATGTAAGTCCTAATATGCATTTAAAAAAATTGAATGAATTCAATACATACATCAAAGAGCATATTTTGTTCTTTAACATTGCAAATTATATTAAATTTCTATTAATTACAATAGGCTTACAAGTGGCTTGACTTTCAAGCCGCAAGCATTTCTTCAAAAAGTTTTAAAAGTAGTATCTTGTAACAAAAGTCCTGAGGGGAAAAAAGCTTTTCATATTTTGCTTATACTTTTCACAGAAAAATAATTAAAAATCTGGAACACTAAGGTCAAATTTTCCTTATATTTGTGAGATTTCCTGTAGATTTGGTGATTTGAAGAAGTATAAATAAAAAGGAGAAAATTAAAGCAAAAGAAAAAACATTTTATATACATGAAAATTCACAATAGAAATGTTTTCAGTTTATGTTAGATGTGTCTTATGGGTCCCCTTGCAATTAATGTAGCCCCTAATCCCTTACATTGGAAGATGGCATTCCAATATATTCCAGAAAATTCTTGAAAGGGGAGAGAGTAGTGAGAGAGAGAAGGGGAGGGGAAGGGGAAAGGGGTGGGAGAGAGATGGGAAATGTGGAGCAAGCAAAGTTTAATTCTGGAAGATCAAGGGCCGATTTCATAATCGCCTCTTACACTGAGTGTTCTCTTAAATGGACGAATTGTGTTCATAAGCAGCCCTTGAGGGAAGTATTAAGAGAGCACTCATTCCTATAAGGGAGGCAGCCTGCTCCCTTAAGTGTCCCTTTTGGCTTCCTTGCATCGTTAGTCGTAACCAGTTTAGGTTATACTTTTACGCTGCGTTCACAGACTATTGAATTCGTTTTGCTGGTGTTTGTACAGTGTAGGCAGTTAAAACCTATCATTAGTGAAACGTGTTATAGAAAAGGACTTCAAATATTATTTTGAGTATTACACTCAAGACGTCATGTGAAATTCAAAGAGATATTAGAGATATGAGCAACCTATTAAAAAATGTAGAATGATGAACAATTCCCAAAGCAATTTCGTTTCAATAAAACTACTGTAGTGGATACACTTGCGCCGTTGATCAATAAGTCCCAATGACTAAAAGAGGATTGCCGATTTCCTCTTATTAAAAGTTCTCGTTGCATTAAGATGTTATGCAACTTCATCCTTTCAGGAAGGTTACCAAAATTTTTAACTTTTATTCATTTCTGATTTATAAGACCTATTATAAGTAATTATGAATTTGCAATATGAATAACAAGTGAAGTAATTTAAATTGTTCTAAAATGGAATTTATGTTAATACTATATGGGGTTGACATTTTCAATTACATGAAATGTTAATAATTCATTACCAATATTGACACACACGTTCATACCATGTTACCAGACCACCACTTTATGTTCATTAGTTATACTAGAGCATAAGTTAACGTTGAGGAATCAATTGAAACTGGCATTAAGTATTATATTACAATCCAATAATGCACATAAATAATGTGTAGAAAATACACAAGACATTGCAGAGATTCATTAAAATATTGATACGACGTTTATGGATTATATTTTTTACCAAACATTTCTGATTATTAGGGATTCGTTATAAATACATTCTTAAAATAATAACATGATACCGGTGTCAAATAGTCATTGAAATTATATGAGAATCGTAGATTATATTGTTACAAATCTACTCGTTATTAGTGATTGGTAGTAATTTTATTAGTAACATATACCAACATCAAAACATCTCGCTTTGTATGAGGAAATATTAGAGGTTGTAGAAGTATTTCGTCTTGCGCGCACGCAACGTCAACTCTACGTTGGAGTGTCCGCCCCCTGTAATATTGGACGCTCTACGTACAAGATGAAGTGCGTGTTTAAACTCTGTTGCCTAGAACTTCAAAGCACCTGCCGCCAATGCCATGTTGCTTTTCCATGCCATGCCATACATTTTCCTTCCGCTTAAAGGAACACTCATTCCGTGGTCATAAGGAACGTCCATGAAATACAAACGCCTATGAGTGAACACTGATTTTGAGAAAGCACTTATCACTTAAGGGTTCGTTTATCCCATAAGTGACAACTATGAATTTGGCCCCAAGTAGATTGAATATTAAAATTCATGATGATTGAGAAACTATGCCATCATGGAAAAAAATCCTGTGCTTCCTGGATTGATTTCCAACAGAAGTTCATTACACTATTAAAAAAACTTAACTAATCACACCAAAATAAAGACTGAATATTTTCATCATGATAAAGATCAAAGAAAAGCAAAAATTTTAATTTTTTAATTGCACAAAATGATAAGTGATCACCACAGCAAACACAGTTATTTTGAGTGATGAAATTTACACAGTTTCTGGAAATATTTTACAATATTGATAAATTTTGTTAAGACTGGAAATAAACAAAAACCAAACAAAATCTACAAAAAATTTGTACCTACCTCATGAGTGTAGACTCTCACAGGAATCCCAAAAGCACGTCCTAATCCAAAATCTGCCACCTTTATTGTACCATTCTTACCAATAAGCAAGTTCTGTGGTTTTAAGTCACGGTGTAAAATTCTTCTTTGATGACAAAATAAAATAGCTTGAGTAATCTAACACAGTAAATAAGAAATATTAAAGTCTTTAAACAGAAAATTGAAAGAAAGCGGCACAAACTAGCTAAGAATTTAAAGATATCAAAGTACCTGATATAAGTAAGACTTCACTTGATTCTTATCCAAAAGATTTCCTGATCCTAAAGTATCCATGTACTTTTTTAAGTCCATGCTCAAAAATTCAAAAATGAGATACAATCTTGATTCCTCCATGATAACATCTTCAAGGCTACAAAACCAACAAATTGCTTTACTGAAATTTTTTATTCCACGATAGTACCCATAACTATTCACTAAATCAATACATACATGTACCCAGAATTAATTATTAATTTAATAGACGCATATTTATACATAATTTAATAATGATAAATGAAACTTAATAACAACTAGTACTCATTAGTAGCAGTGGTAGCACTGACTATGAGGAAGTAATGATAATAGGAAATGAAACAAGTTTTTAATGATATTTTATTGCATTTACTAATAATTTCATTGCATTCTTGGAAACGATGCAGGTGAGGGAAATTATATACTTTTGAATTTACGAAAATAGGTCGAACAATCTAAGTTGCCAACTGCTACTTTTTATTCTTATTTTTATTTTGTTGGCAACATACCAGAACATCAAAAATCAATCAAATTCCATGACAAATCAAGCCCTGTATATGTGTATATACACACATTAAGAAGTTCAGGGAGGAACTAACGACACTGAAAATAAGCTCATTTAGAGTAACAAACTCCTTCGAAATTCCAAATGGCTGTGCCACAAAAAGCACTCAAAATTTCATTAAAAAAAGGCCTTCCTTACAAAAATTCCCATTTTAGAAACAAACACTCTAAATACAGTAATTTCTTTAATATTTACAAAAGAAATTAATATATTTGTTCACAAAGAAAAATTAACACATAATAATTACCCAATTTACACAATTCAATTGATTTTTTTATAATATATTTCTCTGCAATTACACAAATATTTTTCCTCTGCCTTTCAAACTTACGGTTTTTACTGTTACTCTTAACTTCTTCAATAAATGCATTTATTTGTCTGAAATTTCTTTTATTGTTTCAGAGAAATTTCCTTAGAGGAACTTTGATAAGTCTATTCCGAAACAAAAATCCATCTCATTTTGAGTAATTACAATAAGGAAACCATACAGTACATTGAAATTACAATAAAACGAAACAAATTCTGGGTTTCAGTGGGTTATAACATTTTCATTCAGAATTTTTTCAACAATCAACGAAAAAATTTGCTTACAACAAAACTACTTAACTTGCATGAAAAAAATTGTGGGGAGGAAGCACCTTTATATAAATGCATCAATGTGGATACTTAACCTATTTTATGCTGTGTGACACCTATTGAAAAGTCAAAATTTCATGAACAAGATACAAATGTGTCCAATTTATTTCCATTACTGAAGAATTGAATATTTCAAATTACAGACAAAAGGCCACAACCTTTGAGGTGGTCTTACCTAAATTACTAACACACTGTCATTAGAAAACAAAAAATGTTGGGAAACAGCAGCATTCCCATTTTTTTTCACTTGATAATAAGATTAGCAGAGTGAAAAGCATTTGAATTAAAAGGACTATAACACTCACCTGACAATATTAGGGTGTTGAAGTTCTTTAAGTAACGAAATTTCTCTGATAGCAGTAGCAGGAATCCCTTCATCCTCATTTTCTATGCGTATTTTCTTCATAGCCACAATTTGTCCCGTTCTTTTATGCTTACCTTTGTATACCACCCCGTAAGTACCTAAAAGACCAATTACAATACTTAGAAAATAATTACAGTTGCGAACACTCATTCAAACAGGATGTTACATACCTTCGCCGAGCTTTTCTATTTTGAGAAAGTCATCCATTTTTCACTTCTGTCGTAAATAAAAAGAATTGCACATGAAACGGTGATGTGAATAACACTCGACGTAAAGGACAGGTCACAATAGTTTGCGCCCGAATATAAACTTTTAACGCAAATTCTGCCAAAGGCCTAAAATTGTTTATGTTCTAACTTACCTTGAACCTCACAAAGTTAAAAACTAAAAACCAAATTTCGAAGACAGGTCCGCTACACTTCCACATACGTTCACGCCGAGTTCACACAATTGAATCTTAACGCTCCATTCAAAATCTACCAATGCCAGTACTTTCTGGGCTCTCGCTGAAAGTGTATGGAAAGCAACCAATGAAAATCGTCAGAAAACAATCCGGACAGGTGTACAGTAAGGGTATTTACATTAAGCTAATCGGAAGTGCAATTTTTTCTAGAATGTCCATCTTCTTGTTTCACAAACTTCATATAAACTTGGATTTAGTCTTTCTAAGTATAATTATTGAATGAAATATCTCGTATATTTCCCAAATTGTATTTTGTATTACACTTTTTTTTTAAATGGACGTTAGTAAAGTTGGTTTCACTGGATCTTCTTCATATGGCGGCGAAACAAATACTTTCAAATATTCCCAAATAATGTTAAAAGAATGTAAAGGGATTATTTAGAACTTCTCGGTAATAAGGAAAATACAGACCTTCAATGACTTTATTATGATATGGAATTATATATAATATTTTGCACCAATGTAACATTCACATGTACATGTTCATGTACTGTAATTGAAATTGTCAACTATTTGTTTAAGGAATCATGCTCCATGATACACGCAGGACCGGATTAACTTAAGAAGCACACATTTTTATATCAAAACATTTACTTCTTCGTATTTTAAGTAATTTTATTAACTTGCCAGTCAAACCTCAAATTGAACGTCCATTTAAAAGAACTGAATACTAAATTAAATTCATCATGCTACACGTTCAAAATTCTTTCAAATTCAGTCAGCCACCATGCTGCTCGTTGTGAATACTTCGAGAATGTTCATTCCGGCCTGAGATATGGCATAATTTTCTATAGAAAAATATCCTATAGCTCCTAGACGTTAAGGTTACTAAAATAATTGTACGAATAATAAGCAAATCCCACCGACTATGTAATTTATAACTTCTCTTTATTAAAGCTAGAATTTCTATCATTACCTTGCCTCTTAATTGAGAATTTACTCAAAAGTGGGAACGTATTTTCAGCTAATACGTATGTGTATAACATTTGGCGTAGTAATCATATTCATCAGGCGTTCGTATCAAGAGCCCACTACAAAAAATTCATATACATTACATATATAATATGTTGTTTTTTTAAATTGCTTTGAAATTAAACGATTTTCGACTATTCCACTCGTGAAATTAAAACCAATAGTGTTGAATTATACATACAAAATGCCCCAATCCGGGCGGTGTATCTCAAAAAGTTTATCGCTTTTTCTATCTGATTTTTCTTACCGCTTCTTCCTACTGGCCAATCATAAACTGTGACTCATCTATCTTAGGAGGTGGTATTGCACATCGATCGCTATGTAAATGTCCAATAAACTGCGTATGTACTATAACATAAACTATTTGATTTTAACATGGATTTCGTTATTTTCAATATTTGACGCATTTGTGAATTCTGCTGGACATAATTTCTCTCGTGGAATAGTCCTATTAAATACCACTCGTTCTTTGAAAATTCTCAGGTAAATCCCATCCTCGCTTTGCGAGTCGGGAATTTATCGACAATTTCCAAAGAGCTCATGGTATTACCTATGAAAAACAAGTTTCAGTGCCTAGTAAAATCTTTTATGCTGCATAACTGTTTCTATACAATTAGAGACTCTACCGAGCATCAAAAAGGAAAATAGTAATAATTTTAACAATGATTTTGAATGTATTAAGGACTGTATAATTCTTAACAACCTTATCAAGTATTGTATCACAGCTTCTGAGTCAATGACCCCCATCTCTGTCGGGTTTTCGTCCAGTCCAGATCCTTTGAGCGAATGCTGAGATTGACCCTTGTTTTGCTTCTAGACATAAACTTCACTATATGTACAAGTCTTTTAGAGTTCTGTGGGCAATATAGTTATTTAAATTAACGTTCTCCAACTTCTCACGGCAAAGTTCTCCACGATTCCTTCACGAAGGACATGAAGAGAGACGATAGCCAAACTCTGAGACTGATTTGCCTTTGCAAACAGTTTTTATTACATTGGAGCTATTTTTTTCTTATCAATTCTTGCCAAGATCATTTCATCAGTATTCAGGAAACGTGCCCAGAATCCACTTCTTCCCATAGTATGTCACATTCAGTTTTTAACGTTAAATAATATAATAAATTATGAACCGATTATATAATGATGTGCATTATTATCCTACCCTGCTGTAGGTGGATTTGATTTACAAGTCTGCCTGCGAGAGAGTACAAAAGTTGTGGCATTAATTCTGATGTCACCATTTTTGCTTTTTCTCTTACTTCTAGAGGAGCCAAATCAACATCTGACACTAGACATTTTAAACTAAAGAATTCGACGGTTTATAAGGGCAACCACACGGTAGCAACATAACACAATATTACTTCAGTCAAATGTTCCTTCTAGCCCTACCTTTGCGCTTGTCAAATAGGATCAAAATGAAATTGATTCCAATATGTTTTAAGTAATATTCCACTTAAAAATGTTTAATAATGAAAAAAGATCAAACTGACGAGCATGGTATAATATTAAATGCAGTTTTAATGTAAACAATCGAACGAAACATTTACTAGAACGATTCTCAATGATTCATTCAGTTTTGATACTTCGTTTGTAAACTTCTCTGGGACTGGTCAAAAACCTGTATCGTAATGAAATCTGTATCGTGATGAGTAAAGACCGGATTCCCATGTTACTGCATCTTTTCTTCGCTAACTTCAAATTGGATGAAACCTTGACCGAAATTTGAATAATGAAGCGGTTTAGTTATTATTTTAGTACTTGTTTTATTTTGCACAAAATGGCACGTTTGGAGGGTTACTGCACGATATTGCTCCTTTTAGGTAATGCTGCCTGAAAATTGCACATTTTAGGAAATTAATGAACAAATTTGCCAATTTCATAGCTTTTTTTACATAAAATATAATTTTTACTTTCCCGTATGCATACGTGTATACTGTGTAATTACACATAGTATAAGGAAAGTTATGTGATTCTGCAGAAAATCGATTTCGAGATTTCAACGGAAATCTCGTTCGAAGGAACGTTTTGGGGACCCCTAATGCCGAAAAAGTTTTTTTTTTCTTCTTTTTTTTTTTCCAAAACGTCTGTCCGTCCGTCTGTCTAGTGTATGTGAACAACACTAGGGCAATTCTCATGAAATATGTAACCACATATATTATTTACAAAAATAACTATAAATATTTTGTGACGCACGGGACTCATAGAAATCAGTATTTTTCACATTGATTAAAATTATGAATTTTTTCTGTGAATTATAAAAGATTCTTGAAATTTTTGGAATAAAAATAGTAAGTATTTTCATAGTTTATGCCAATGCACTAAACAACTTTCATTATATTTTCGAATTAAATTTGTTATTATTTGTTTCGTTTGTGATGCACGGGACATTTGAAAAGTGACGCACGGAACTTTTTCTGTGAAGTTACTCGCACGTCAAACTCATGAGACTATCAAAAGAAAACTGCAGTTCCCAAGTTTTCTGTTTAGATTTGTTATATTTTCGAATTGTGTGCTATCGATTTGTATTTTTATAGCAATTTTGAGCAATAACTAAGTTAGAAAAGATAAGAATATTAATTTAATTCTTAGTATTCTTAAAAAGTACCTTAAAATAGTCCTAAATGATAAATAAGAGTTCTGAATTTCAGAATATCATAGCAAAAGTGAACAAGAAGAGTGATAGGGAAAAAGCTAAAGAATACAAGGCAAAGCATGCAGATGAGGTAAAGGAGAAAAATAAGCGGGTAATGCAAGAAAAACGAAAGAAAGAAAAGGAGATCCAGTCACACTCGAAATGCAAAGGAGAAAAAAAAAGATTTAAGAAAAGTTGAATATAAAAGGAATAAGGTAATCAATAACATTTGTGGAAATGATCAAGTATCTTCTACACCAGTAAGAACTTATTGCTTCCCTTAGATATTTGGCAAAACTTTTAAAATGTCCATTAATTCTCTTCCTAAATTTCCTTCAGGAAAGAAAGCAATAGTAGCTAATTTGTAAAAGAGAAAGGTTTGAATTTGACGAAGCATTAAATTGACTTTTAGTTCTAGATCTGATGCACAAGTTGAAATTCTTCAATTTTATTATAAACCTGACCTTGTATGTACTGCCCGTGGTATGGAGGATGAGATTGTTGTATTGAGGGATGGAAATAAAATAAGAGAAAGGAAGTATTATTTGACAGTTTTTCCAAAGGAATCTGATCAGCCATTTTGTGATCAATTTCACAAACTCAAAGTTGAATTTTTCACATTTTGCAAGCTTTGTCCAAGCAATGTTTTTCTCTAGCATGACACATCTACTGATCAGTGTATATGTGAGAACATTTTTTCGAAATTAGACCCACTAAAATTAAAATATATAATTAAGCTATTAAGCTATAATATATAAAATATATTATTAAGATATAATATCCAGCACATTTTGGGAAAACATTCTTTGCAACAATGTAATGAAATCTTAATGCAATAAATGTTGTACTGGGTTTAAAGTGACCACTCGAACTTGCAATGTCCATTACATGGAAAGAGTGGGGGGGAAAAAATCACCAAAATAGATTCCAGTGTTTTGTGAAAGAAGTATGTGCTGGTGAATTACTAGAAAAGGTTAATGATTGTCTCAAACATATGGTGCAACATATTAACATCAAAAGAATTCGATCACAGCAGTTCAACATGGACAAAGAATTGACACGCACATTGCAGATAGAGTTGTGAATATCAAAATGTAGTATATAGTGCTCTATGGAGCAGGGAAAGTGTAGTATTATTCACTGCAGCTTCTACATTTAATGGAAAATGCCAAACATATATCATATATTCACATTCAAAATTTAAAGAAATAATACTGCATGATATAATACTGCAATACTCAAAATTGTATGACATTGTAGAACCAAGTGCAGAATCACTTCCAAAGGTTGATGAAGTCATATGGTCCGATGGACAGCATTCTGAATTTAAAAACAGATTCACGGCTGAATTTTTGAAACAGCTCAGTGACAAATTTAATAAGACATTCATGTGGAAGTACTTTGCAATTTCACATGGAAAAGGAATCGTTGACAGTATTGGTGGACAAGGTAAATCTCTTGTTAGAAGACAAGTTGAGTAAATCTAGTTCATCTCCAATTGTAAAATCATCTCAAGACATTGCCAATTAATTAGAAAGTTAATGCCAGAAACAGAAGTATTGTTTGTTGTATCTTTATTGTTATTGGATTGCTAAAAGGTATAGAAAACA